TCTGATGGGGGAGGGTGGGCGGGGGGGGGGGGGGGGGGGTATTGCGTAAAAATGTTCATTCGAGATCCTTTGGCATGAACAAGTCGCAAGCGTAGTACTTTGTAGTAAACAATCTCTCCATAACGACATAAACTTATTTTTATGTAAATGTTTAAAATTTAAATGGGCTCAAAAATGGCTGTGTGATACAAGCAACGCGGTTAAGCTGCATCAAAGAGTATTTAAATATGAGCTAAATCGTTTCTCAAAAGAGCAGGTTAAACCATCTTTGTGATTTGAGGTATTTAACGCCCCCTGTCTTTTTTCTCTCTCAGCAAAATGAAAGGAGGTGCTTAATTTTTTAGCAAAAGTTTGCTTAAGGAGGTCAAACTTTTACAAAAATATTTGCTATACATTTTTGATGTCCTGTTATGTCTAATAGGCTACGTTTTTGCAACTTCATAGCAATAAACATTATTAGACAAAAGTGATCAAATGTATTAATTAAAAAGCACCAAAATGGGCAATAGGGTTGCCTAAATTAACTCAACAGGGCACCATAGTGTTTTGTCGCTATTATAGTTATGGATAAACTTAAAAATCCCATATCTGAAAGATATTTATTTATTTATTACAGTAACTTTGGTAACAGCTGAATGGTTTATCTCGACAAATGCACTCAAAACTAATTTGTCTAAAATTGGCACATGGAATGAGATGGGGTTTTTTTTCAATTTAATTAAGTTAATTTCCCTTTTTTTTTACTTTTTTACTTTATTTATGTGTTTATTTTATTTTTGAGTGTCACCTCTGAGCTGGGACAGTCCAAAATCCACATTTAAGGGGAGATAAATACATTTTTGTAGCCAAACTACTTGTTGTTATGCGAGGTTAATTTTATGTTTGATAATTAATTTAAATTTTTGATATGTTAATTTAACATTAATTAAGTAAATTAATAAAACAACAGGGGATATATGCTAATAATGTAAAAAAAAGTCATCGTATTCGTGGATGTGCCTTATTTTAAATTTCCAGACTGAATATAAATGGCGATGGTATGGCGACAATGATCTATATCAGTTCAATAACTTGAATTGTGAAAAAGCAGTCTGTGTTTTGTCAGTGTTTCGTCTCTGTCGAAACTTCACAGTGAGAAATGCAACATATTTGCGCCGCCTTGTTGACGCGAATTGAACGTCACATGATCATCGAGTCACATGACTTTGTTTTGGAGAAAATGGCAGCTAGCGTTACAGCATCTACTATATATTTATGTACTGTTTTTATTGTTTTATTCAATGTATATGTCGACAGCAAGGATACTGACGCACAGGTGAGACGATTTGCAAAATGACTGTAATGAAATAATACTTACATGCTACAGTAGATAAGTCACAATGTTGCCATTTGTCATCACTGTCGTAAAGTAAAACATTGAATGTTGTTTTACAATGTTTTTTAAAGCTCGCCTTTCACCTTTGTTTTCTCTAGGTATGTCAAATGTGTGAAGGGACTGTACGACAAGACAGTCCTGTCTGGGATTTCTGCCTAACAAAAGGCCATGTTAGGGGACGCTGCTGTTTTGGAAATAATACCAGCAATATAGACACCATTATAGGGTAGGAAAACTTTCTAGTATTCCACAATTTTTTAATTATGACATTTCTTTTCTATGTATAACTCTAACTGTTCTGTACTGTTTTAGGTTGGACTTGGCAAACTGCTCTATGAGTCATGTAGAGCACCTGTATAATTCATCCACTACATTCATAATGTATGTACAAGAGCAGGTTTTTTATCATGATAATCTGTCACTTTTAGAACTGAATTGAATATCTAACTGTTGTCATTCTATGTTTTCACAGAGACCTCTCCAACAACCCCATCTCCAATCTGAGCGATTTCATATTTCAGGGTTTCAGCCATCTTACCCAACTGTAAGTTATGCGTGAGCACTTTATATCATGTTTATAACATTTAAGTCAGGGGGTTTTCAGCTGGGATCTGGAGGTCAGGGCGTCCATGAAAAAGTTTAGAGAAAAACAGTGTAATAGATGTATATATATATATATATATATATATAATCAAAATTAATAAAATAATACAAATAATAAATACAAATATTTACATAAATAATACATCTAACAGTATGTGCAGTGGAAAGAATAATACTGTAACTATAATAAAAACTAAATATTTTTCAAATTATGTTTTATGTATATTTATATGATTTATTTCACAGTATAAATGGGGTATTGTGATGACGATATTCATCCATGGGTCCATGGCATTTAAAAGATCTAAAAGACTGAAAATAGCTTAAACACATTGAGTTAACTTGACAAATCTTTACTTAGTTTACTACCCTCTAAACTGGAGTGTCCAGGGGGCAATGCATCATGGGAGAAGGTTGAAGTGAAAAACAATGCCAAAATCTGCGAAGGACAGAAAAATACTTGCAATCAGACTGCGCAGATGCGTAAGTAATTAATAAACTGGGATCTCAAGTCTTCAAAATGAAAAAAAAAAGAATGCATTTCTTGATTATGGTTTGTCTCTTCAGCCTGGGATTGCCCTGAAAACTCATTCTGCAGCCCATATGGACCAGGGTTCTTTGAGTGTAGCTGTCTGCAAAATTTCCATGGATACAAGTGCATGAGACAGGTGAGACCTCCGTCAAATCATCCCAAACAGGTTGGCCATTACTCCTTTATCGCACACATTCATTATCCTTTAACAACTGCAGGGTGCGTTTCCTATAGTTAAGGTGCTTGGGATACTAACCGGATCTACAGTTGTGGTTTCATCTTTACTCTGGTTCACACAAAGACGAAAGGTCAAGAACACTTGAGTTTTAAAGAAAACTGACTGTTGGGCTGACGTGGAGCCTGAAAATGGTGCAGGAGACACCAAAAAGTTTCATACACTGGATGGTATGAACCATCTGCTTGTTTTTTTATACTTGCCAAAAGCAGGTTTGCAAGACATTTTTTTTTTTTTTTAATGTTAAAAGTTTGCAGTTTGTGCTGAATGTTTTACTTTCCTTTAACTCTCAAGGTCCTTAAATCTTTTTATTTATACATTTTTTGAAAGCTTTCATGAATACTGTCACATTTTTACAGCCTTGATAAGGCTGGTCTGTAAAGGGAAAACTGACCGTAGACGGACCTCGCCGATTGTGTTTGGAGGGCAGCCACATTTCTGACTGATCTTTAGACTCCTAAACATGTCAAAGTGAAGCACTCATGTATTATAACAATGATTAAGGACAAATATTTTGTGTTGCTTTAAGACAAAAATTATCTTCATTTTTAAAGATGTTTACTTAAAAATTTGTGTTTTTGACGTAGAAAAATAATTAATTTTACAGATTGGGACATGGGTGTTGTAGGACTGTTGTTATTTGTGAAAAATGTAGATCGTTACTGCCACATCCTGCTGTTTACAGATGTCACATGTTATATCCTAACTGATGATCCTTCAACCTCTGTAACTATGCTTTTCTCTTTTTGGCAGCGTAAGAGTGTAAAAGGGAATCTGTTCCATCTGAGATATATAGATGGACACACTATTAGTAGAATACTGACATACGTAAATTACATTATGTGGGTTTTTGTCAATAATGTAGTATTGTGGTAGGGAATTCAGCATGTACCTTGGCAGCCTGGTACCTAAAATAAAGATTTGTCACAATATCACAAAGAATCAGCCAACAGCCATTTATTTTTCTGTAGCGTTTCCAAGGTTTTGGTAGTACAAACAAAACCTCTTATGCAACACATTCAGCTTTTGCATGATCTTACACACATTTGCACCATGTTCTTTTTCCCTTTTCACATCTATGAAAGGACTTCAGCAACAGAAACTATCCAAAAAAGGATGATAGATGTTTATGTCTATACACTCACCATGATGCGCCAAAATTGAAAACACAGGGTTTACAGACACTTTCTTAAATTTCGTGGATCTGACACAATAACAAAGCTATCTGACATTCTTGATCTTGTGTACAACAATTCTAAGTATTAATTTGAGAATTTTCCAAAGAAAATCTAATTAGGTGGACTTTTTTCGAAACTGGAATTGGACCAGTTATACAATTTGAAATTAAATGGATCCCACTAGTGAGGACATAAACTGTGGCTTTATTTGAAAAGCTTGTTCCATTTCATAGATACGTTTATTGGGTGCCAGAAGTGCACAGATTCTTATGTGCAGATGCAAGAGGGAAGCAGAACCGTGTTTTGTCTGCTCTTCACTGATCTACGTTCTTGACTCGCAGTACCACAGGCACAGAGGTGCAGGGGATCATGCCCAAGTCAGTGATCACAAGGTCCACAAAGTCTGGTGGCGTCACATCATACACCAGGTTCAGAAGCCCCAGTGATTTAACAGTCTGCCAGTTCTCTAGGTGAGTTTTCCCATTTCTGGTCACAATTAGGTCATCTGGGTCATCTGTAAAAAAAATAAAATAATGTTTTTTTTTTTTTTTGTGTGTGTGTGAATATAAATATACATATATGTATGTATGTGTGTGTTACTTAGAAAATAAGCCAAACATCACAGAATTTCCCATTTCTGGTCACAATTAGGTCATCTGGGTCATCTGTAAAAAAAAAAAAAAAAAAATGTTTTTTTTTTTTTTTTTGTGTGTGTGTGAATATAAATATATATGTATGTATGTGTGTGTTACTTAGAAAATAAGCCAAACATCACAGAGTTACCTAATTCGTTGGATACAAAAGAGTCAGTCTGCACTCGTTCACAGAACTTGTAGGTCTCACAGCAGACCAGCACTGGTACATTGTAGGCTTTTGCTACCAGGGCAATTTGGGAAGTTCCCACACGTGACATCACATATCCATTAGCAAGGAGTGCATGGGCACCAAGAAATACCTTGGATACCTGGAAATAAGAGTGCAGAGTCCAGGTTCTGATTCAGCATTCAGATAATGTTTTTAATGGCAACATAAAGGCCAGTTAACTTTAGTGCAATCACACTACCACTCAAATGTTTTTTTTCTGGAAGGAAATTAATACTTTTATTCAGCATTATATTGATCAAAAGTGACAGTAAAGACATTTATCATAGATTTCTATTTGAAAAATACTGTTCTTTTGAACTATTCATCCTGAAACACAAAAATGAAGGATCATGTGACTGAAAATTGGGAGTAATGACTTCTGAAATTTCAGCTTTGCCATCACAGGAATAAATTATGAAATAAATAAATGAAATATATTAAAATAGAACAGACATTTTAAATTGTAATATTACTCCACATTATTGCTGTTTTACTGTATGTTCGATAAGAAGCTTTTTCAAAAACATGTTCTTTTGAACTATTCATCCTGAAACACAAAAATGAAGGATCATGTGACACTGAAAATTGGGAGTAATGACTTCTGAAATTTCAGCTTTGCCATCACAGGAATAAATTATGAAATAAATAAATGAAATATATTAAAATAGAACAGACATTTTAAATTGTAATATTACTCCACATTATTGCTGTTTTACTGTATGTTCGATAAGAGGCTTTTTCAAAAACATAAAAAAAAAATCTTAGTGACCCCAACCTTTTGAACAGTAGTGCATACTATAATTTAACACAACAATCTAAACATTCAGAACCTTGCAGTGCCATATTATCATTTGAAATAACACTGTAATTGCCATCTAAGAATGTCCGTAATAAATGTGTACGTGTATAAAGTGCAGAAACTCTTAGTGTTCTTAAAGAAAGTGGTTCAATTTGGTAGAGACTGATAAAACCAAGCAGTTATCTTTGTTCTATTAGCACCACTTCAGTTGCTACTGTGTATTGTAAAGAACGAAAGTACCAAACCATAATTAAGCTGTATTTTTAGCTACTGCTAATGTCACTCACATAATCAATCATTTGAAGGTACATGCATTTTGGTATGAAATCACCTTACCTCGCAATGAGCTAAAAATAAAAAGTGCTGGCAAAAAGCTTTACTGAAAAGAATGACTCACTTCTGGCAGAATGTAGGACAAGGCAGATATGAGAACGTAAGTACATCGGATGCCTTTCTTCACCAGACGCCTCAGCGTCTCTCTACCCTCCAGTCTGGGCCGACTGTCCACAACTATGACTCTGAACTTCCTCTGCTTTTCAAAAGCTTTGCACAGAATGTGGTTGACAAGTGAAGAGCTGGAAAAACACAATAAAGGCACTTCTGAAACACTTCTGAACGAATCCAGACTTTTACAGAATTACATCAATTAACTGAAAAATCTTACCAGCCATAAACAAGAATGACATCTCCATTACTTATCTTCTCAATAGCATACTTAGAAATGGCTTCAGAAGCCAAAATGATCTTCTCATTTATGTAACTATCAATACATGCCTGCAGTTCCCCTTTGGCCTGTTGAGAAAACATTGCTTTTAGAAATTCACAGGAAGAATACTGTTACTGTATATTAATGTCTCTAAACTAGTAGTCTTGCGTAGCCATGGCAGCTTACATTGACCAAGGCCCGCCTATGAGGCTGTTTGACCGACATGTCAAACAACCAATCACAGTTTGTTTCGTTCATCGTCACGTTTCGGGGCGTGGAAATGTCACCACAATAACAGACCGGTGTGTAAAACTCTCGGACGTGTTTTAAAGATTCTATGATGCAAACTTTACATTTTTCACATACTTTTGAGAATCCGGCGTTTAGTTGATCCTGATAAGCGCTCGTCGTCACGGTTGTAAACACGATGGCTTTCTTATTTCGTGAGGAGGTTTGGCGGCATGGCAGCTTTGTTTCCAGGCGGAACGTTAAAGAACACGACATACACGTCTCCCGGAAATCCTGTATAATTCAACCAATCCGATGACAACTTCGAAACTCCTGAAGTTTTTCCACTTTTGTGTGCCATATGCATCAGACGTCTAGCCAACGGTCCGTGGGCGTGACGTCTGAGGCTGAGACTACTAAACTAGTGACTCAGTGACTCTTAAATATTTTTACCTCCTCTTCTTTGCATTGACTTGGTATATTTGAGATTTCCTTCTTGATGTATTTGATGGCATTGCCCATGCTGGCCGAAAGGGGTCGACACTGGCTGAGAAAACTGCAGGCGTAATGAGAATTTGCAGTGTTTGTTAAACATCTCCATAAGATCGGAGATCAAATAAAACACATCTACATCTGAGCTCATGCTATATCAATTTTCACAAGGAAGAAGGTGAACCTGATATAGGGCGACAGCTTGTTCACAAGGTCCCTTGACAACTCCTCATTTGGAGGTGTGCTATAGTCTTGAATAACCTATAAAAAAATTATTGAAACACTATTTCAATCCAAAATTAAGAACGGTTCAGCTATTTTATAGGTTTTATTATGTATTACCTGTTTGAAGGCATGTAGTAGGGCCACAGATCGAGCATTGGATCCTGCTATAATGCCCTGAGAGTACTGCAGGCCCAAGCGAACAATGGATGGGTGAATAACTGTGGCAGGGATGCTACAAAATAAACCATATCAAATAATAAGTCAACCAACTGAGTCATCTAGGTTATTTAAGCTTAATTACTAATATGTCTCTCCCGAAAAAATTTAAAATTTAACTGTAAAAATGTGTATTTATTTTTTCCACTGAGGTCTACTTATAATGTTGGTAAAGATTATGCCTATTTTTATTTTTCATGATCATTTATCTGAGACCTAGAATTACATGGCCTAATATTAGAATATCTTAGATTCAATCATTTTAAAAATAAAAGGCTTCCTGAGGAGGAAGTTTGAATTCTTTAAGTTACAGTATGTTTCAAGTTACACGACACGTTCAAAAGTGTGGGCACAGTAAGATTTTTTTTAAGAAACTGATGCATTAAACTGATCAAAAGTCACCATAAATACTTTTATATTGCTACAAAAGATTCCTATTTCAAATAAATGCAATTCTTTCGAATGTTCTCTTCATCAAAGAATCCTGAAAAAATGTGTAATGATTTCCATAAACATCAGCACAACTGTTTTCAATATAGATGTTAATAAGAAGTGTTTGTTCAGCACTAAACCAGCATATCATAATGATTTATGAAGGATTATGTGACAGCGAAGACTGGCGATATGACTGCTGAAAATTCAGTTTGATATCACAGGAATTACATTTGAAAATATATTCAAAAGCAGTTATTTTAAATTGTAATAATATTTCACAATATTACTGTCTTTACTGTATTTATGATCAAATAAATGCAGCCTGGATGGGCATAAGAGACAAAAAAATCTTACCAGATTTCCACTTATATAACCCCGTCAAGACACATTGTTTACAATACCTGATTTGCTGGGTGGGAGGGTTTTTCCGGCTGTATTGGTGGAGATGTGAGAACAGGCTGACCTTGTATCCATAATCTGACCTCAAAGGAACCTTATAGAGCAGAAAGAACAACAGCATTGGATGTGAGTATTTTGTTCACTCAAGGTCAAACGCTCTGGAGGTCACATCCTCCCTCCTCAGGTCAAGAGCTGAGGCTGCAACAGAACACTGTGCATGAAGACATACACGACACAAATGTGCACAAATGAAGAAGGGCTCCACAGTAGACTTTGAAAGCTTTATACTAGTGTTATAGAGCTACACCTAATAACATAAAAAAAGTAAACTAAAATCACACTCAAAAGTTCACCCACATAGGACATCTAGCTCATCACATCAACACAATGTAATGATAATAATCACAATGAAATCACCTCCAGCCGACATTAAAGCCAAGAAGTGTCAATAACTTTCACCAAGAATAAAAACACGTTACACAGAGAAAGAATTCAACAATACACTGCACACAAAAGTGTGGAGCCAGACCTTAACTCCAGTTATATTTAAACCGCATCCCTGCCCTGACTTCTGGAAGACATGGGAAGGACCTGGGTTAAAAAGCGGTGCAAAATGGATCTCGGAAAACACCTGGAAGAATCCATCATCTGTCAATGGGCGATAATCAGACAACAGGCAAATCATGGCTGTGGATTTGTCTCACCTGCTGCCTCTCAAGCTTTTTGGCCAACTTCTTCAATGCAGCAGGGTCGTCCACCTGAACATGCTCTGGCAACCTTTTCACTACTAACAGACAAAAAAGAGAAAGGAAATAAAAATAAGGCCGGGTAATTTTGCTTATCCAAATCATAAAACATCTGTAAATATGTGTGTTGGCAAATGTGTGTTTGTATGTGTGTATTTTTAAATTCAAAATAAATACATTTATTTTTAAATACATATATACACATTTGTTTTTAATGTGACACTGAAGACTGGAGTAATGGCTGCTGAAAATTCAGCTTTGATATCACAGTAATTAATAACATTTTAAAATATATTCAAAGAGAAAACAGTTATTTCAATTTGCAATAATATTTTACAATATTAATATTACCTCTTTTTAAACTCAAACAAAAGGGTGAGCATTTAAGAAACTTCTTTCAAAAACATTTAATCGTATCGACCTCAAACTTCAGAATGTTTTTTTTAGGGATGCAACGAAATGAAAATGAACAAAATGAAACACTGGGCCGAAGGCCGAATACCTAAAATGGTTTGTTCATGTTTTTTCCCAATGTATTTTGCCAATTTTTTTTCCACCATTGCATAAATTAAATAGCCAAAATGTGCTTTTTATTGTTTTGTCTTGCTTCAATTACAGAACAACAATTTAACTTAAAATTATTAAGTTAGTAAAGTAATATTTTTGTCCATTTTTGAGGCCCCCTTCTTGAATCAGGCATGTATTTTTTTTACTATAAATAAATGCAGTCTTGCTGAGCAGAAAATAATCCTTTTAAAACATTAGAATATATTACAGATCCCAATTTGAACACTATGGACCAGTTTTACACGCAGTGAAGAATTAGCGCTGAAAAGGAGTCGACAGTTATTTTTGTGGCTGAACTTATTTAATATGCATTTGTAGGAGTTTCCCTTTCAGACGCAAAATTTATGGGAGGAGAGTATTGAAATGAATCACGCAACGAGATTTAATAACGTTTGCGCTCGTCAAATTACTGCCATTTGCGCCATTATTTAACACCCAAAAGAAGCATGTCTTAAACTATTTTGCGCTTGAAATGGCTGCAATTATTGTTGCTGGAGGAGGCACCACAGAGAACAGAGAGCGCGTGGTAGAAGGGAGAGGATTTTTTCCACATGTATTAATTTATTTGGAATGCCAGAAGAACACATTATCCGAACATATCGTTTGCCAAGCCATGTTATTTTTAATTTGCTTCAAGAAATAAAAGATGACTTGGAACCCTCAACTAGAAGTCATGCAATACCAGGTCTATCAAAACTTCTTGCAACCCTATTTTTTTTGGCCTTCGGTTCTTTTAAACATACTGAGGCATCTTTATGTCTTTATTTGCAACTATGTTAATTTGCGCCGCGCTTGATATATTGCATTGGTCGATATGTACATGAGATGCTGCGTCTGTGTACTTTAATTTGTACATTGTTAGTAAATACCCCACAGAAATTTCCACGCCCTCGCACTAGTTAATTTGCCCTGTTTAGTAAAACTGGCCCTATGTGTAAATGTTATAATAAATGTATTAATAGAGCTGTTGTAATTATTATTATCATTATTATTGTCTCACTTTTTTATTTTACAACAGTAAAATTACAATACTAACATTTATGAATGTTAAAGGAGTAATAAAAAAAAACCTTATAAAAATGTTACTGAGCAACTGAAGAGTAACACTGTTTCAGCACAGATTTTCCACGCTCTATGGACTTTGAACCGGGGCTAACAAGCAGATAGCACCACAAGCTCATGCAGCGCTGTCAGAATACATGAAATTTGTGTGTGTATTAGAAAACATAACATTCGGCAGTTTATGAACTAATTGTTTAAGGCCATTTCGCGATTTGAATCATCATACAGTAACCAGCAACAAACACCCTTTGCTCTTCTCATCGGACACATGCCATGCAGTACTAAACAGTCTCTTGCTGTCGGTGCTTGTAATGATTTTTTTTGCGTCTTTCTCTGACATTTTTAAATGCTGCCACACTGCCGTCATGTTTGCTGCATTAGTGCGCACCTCTATTTGATTGCGTCACGTCATCGTTTGTCATTGTACAATTTATTCAGTCTTTTCGCTTATTTGGACCGAACACCGATAAAGCTTTTTTTGCTATTTTCGGACGAATAATTTCTGTTGCTGGACATTCGGTGCTTCCCTATTATTATTTTTTTATATTTGAAATGGAGGGGGGGGGGGGAAATGGCTGCAAAAAAAAATTAATAAATACTGGAATGGCTGATTATATTTGGGCCACTCTGTAAATGCCCAAACTTCCCACCCTGGAATAACTTTTTAGAAGCAGTGAATTACCTGGCTGAAGCTCATTAGGGGTAGCTTTAGGCTTGCTGGAGGCAGATTGCTGCCCCACTTCTTTCTTGCCCTGTTTTGATGCTCGATCTGAGTCTTGCCGTGCCCGACGCTCTGCTCGCAGTTCCGCTTTGCTCTTGGCAGGCTTCTCTGCAGCCGCAGGAGATTCAGAAGCAGATGCATTTACAGGTACAGGAGCCGCTAATGAGATAAAAGTGTCAAACAATAAAAAGCACTCAAAAAAACAGACATTAGAGTTACGCTTGTGTTTACACTTGGCAGGTTTGATTAGATTTAAATGAACTCTGCTCTGTTAGTGAGATTCATTTGAGTAAGCGTGGACACTGCCATTTGAACTTTGATGCACACCAAACAAGCAAACCGTCAGCTTCCAAACTAACTCTGGTGTGGTTCAACAAACAATTGATACCTCGTCATAGGGGGTCAGAGCTTCATTTGTGTATACGGAGGTATTCCAGCTGCTTTTTTGACTCAATTTCACATTTCATAAGCACTAGTTAGCTGTTAGCCCAGCAAACAGGATTGATTTGGATGTTTGGTCAGCTCTCAAAATATACCTCATAAAAGCTGTCCAATCAGGTTGTGACTGTATCCTTATGTCTTTTGTTTTGTATTTTTAAGTTCAGTGAGTTCTAAGTGAACCAGAACTAAATAGACAATAAAGAGAATAAAACTACAAGTGTAAACACACCCTAAAAGCTTATTAAACAGTAATCATACAGATTATTATATCCAGTAGTAAAAAAATACATTTGTTGTTGTTGTTAACATCTTTCTAATCTATCCTAAGAAAAACAATAGACAATTCTGAAACTATTAATAATATGAATCCAGTCTAAATCAGAAAATAAATTACAGCCTCAAAAATAAATAATCTTTTTAGTTTAATTTTGGAATCAAAATTAAATTAGTTTTAATAAACTTTAGATGCAGGAAAATTACATTTGAAACAGCAGCAAAGCAGGCTGAAGTACCTTTATGTGCTGGGCTCTGTGTGGCAGGTTTTGACGGAACTGGTACTGATGCTTTCTCTTTCACCTTTTCCTTCTCTGGAGGACCCTTGTCATCTTTTTTACTCTTTTTATGCTGCTTCTTCTCTTTCCTAAGACGCTGCTTTTCTTCTTTGGTCAATTCCTTCCCTTCATTCTATAGATAAAAAGATGGGAATCACAGTTTGCATGATTTTAAATAGTCCGGTGTCACTGTAAATGAACAGACTGTCCCTTAAAACCTAGCCTGCATTTTGGGCAACTAGACCTTCCATGTCTGCTGAGAATGTGGCTATGATGCCCAAAATGCTGTCCAGATAGGCAGCTCTCCAGGTTTTGAGACCCAGCCATTGTGCTTGTGACATTTTGTCAATTGAAATACGATTAATTAAACGATAAATATTGTGAAATTATATAAACATAAAATAAAGACTTGACCTACCTTTGCCAGTACAATTTCTTGCAACTTTACATCTTCATCTGTGACACAGGTAAACATATTTTTAAAATGCATCCACAGTTAAAACTGTTCTTTATTTGCATAAACACTAGTAATAGAAGATACTCGTTTACTGAGAAGTCAGAAGTTTGAATTAATAATGTCTATGATGACAAAAATCCTCTTGACACTGACTTTGCAGTGTTATTTCATCATGCTGCCTCACTCGATCTTTACCAAACTAAAGAACGCTGCAGAGAGATTCAGTTCGTCTTGCAAAAAATCCAGTTACATATGCAAACATCAGGGAGCATCGCAACCGTGTCGATGTAGTTTGATTCCAATGTGTTCCAAATGACAAAAACAGCATGATGTAATTTCCACTATGCATGTGAAGTCAGCTGTGTCATGGCAGACTGACGATCAGCGGCGTAACCAGCGGCAACACGAGCTCTCCGTTAATGACTATAAACGACGGCTTACTTACGTGTTTAATTCGGTAACAGCACACGTTTAAAAAAAGTATTTGAGTCTTTATATTTTACCTGTAGCATTGTTGATGCTGTCAACCTGTCTCCCATCCGAGTCCGCCATGTTTCATTTCTTCGTGACTTCGCGCTGGTAAACTGATCTGTAAAGCAGTCGGGATGAATTACGCCGCCCTCTAGCGATCGAAAGGAGTGAGTTGACTTTTCTTCCGTTTTTGTGTATATCATTCATGAACGTATCATTTGTGCAATTAAAAATAGTATAAGCTGCAGGCATAACAGTAAAATAACGAGTACAGTACTTGTTAACATAGTTTTAGATGGAAGTTTAGCATGTCACACCGTACCCAAACACCCAAGATGAAAAACTTCCGGTCACCTCTTTTATGAAATAGACGGAAAACAGTCGCTTTCAACCGCAACACGTTCTCGTCGTGTTGAAGGAAAAAAAAAGATAAAAATATTGTCAGAAGTGGGATTCGAACCCACGCCTCCAGGGGAGACTGCGACCTGAGCGCCAGCTGACGAAGGATAGTCCGACAATATTTCAGAAATGTCGAGCAATGTCGAACTGCACAGCCAATCGCGTCGAAGCGCTATGACATTTGGGCCAATCGCGTCGAAGCGCTATAACATTTCCAGCCAATCGAAAAGCGAGATTCTTAACATTTTCTTAACATTCGTGACATTTGACCAATCAGAGTACAGGGGGATGTCGACGGCACCGTTCAAATGTTGTTGTTTGCGACTTATTATTAAAGTATACAATTAAGGATGTTTTATTAAATTACTTTTAAGTATTTAAGTTATCGATAACTTCTAGATATGTGATCAGAACTTAAGGAATGATTTGAAATAAGCGTGCTTATTTAATGAAAAACAGTCACTAACAACACCATTTCAATGTATAAAACGACTAACCGTGACGATCACCGGCTTAACCAACTGCGAAATATGTTTGCTAGGTTCTCTGTTACCGTATATGTTGCCACTTTTTCACTTCTGCACATTTTACCTGTAGCATAGTTGATACTGTCAACCTGTCGCCTATCCGGGTCCGTTATATTTCATTTCCTAGCAACTTTCCGCTGGCAAACCGAGTCTGAAAATGATTTGGGAGCGACTACACTCGGATGTGTCACCTTATCACACAAACAGTTGCCTTTCACTCTAACAAATGTAGAGTGACGCATTTAGTACTAATTGAAGACGATACATCTTCGTTTCGAAGCACTCCAGAGCCCTCTGCTGGTCAAAGAAATGTTAATATAATGCTAAAAAGCAACATGCTGTAACACACACAAATGTTTGGAAATTACGGTTAGACTCCATTTTATTTGTATACTAATGTAATATTTTATGCTTCAATAGGTATATTCTGCTGAAATACAGCTTGCTTGCCTACAGAGGCCCCTGCAAACATGTTCATGCTGGCTTTTTCCAGGCACAGTGGGCTAGGGCCAGCCCACACCAAACCTAAACAGGCCCAGTGCGAGCTTGCCCAGGTGAGACCCACAGCTTTGGGCTCACCGCGGGCTCTTTGTGAGCAGGCCACACTGGTGGACTGTCCACATTAATCCCATGATGGCCCAGTGTAGGCCAGCCCGTTCTGGCCCAGATCAACTTTTGTATCCTTTGGGCCCATGCACGTTTTGTGTAGGCAGCCCTGTAATGCAACTAATACAAACAACATTGACTGGCCATTCTTTAGCCATTCAATTGAACTGGAATGGCTCAAACCAAAAGAGACCTTTTCAGAACCCGTTGTTTAATATAGGCCAGGGATCCTCAAATCTGGCTCACGAGATCCACTTTTCCTGCAGAGTTTAGTTCTAACCTTAATCAAACACTCCTGCGCATGCTAATCAATGTCTTCATTAGAAAATCACAGTTTGGTGAGTTTGATCAAAGTTGGAGCTAAACTCTGCAGGAAAGTGGATAGAGTCATATTTGAGGTGTAACAGACATGAGCCTGTTAATAAGAATGTTGTGGGCAGTTTTCTTCTACCATTTTAGGTTTCCTTAAAACAACATATGTGATCCTCAAATAAAGATAACACGGTTTATAGCTAAAGTGTTATATTCAGTTATGTTACAGGGCATGGGGAGTAGCAATCACTTCAGAAGTGAGGGGGACAGAAATGTCAAATGTAGTAATAATAATAATAGGCCTAATAATATTTATTTATGTATGTCTAATTGACAAAAAAAAACTTTCTTATCTCTTTCTTTTAATTGGCTAAAATATAAAATACACTGCTGGACAATAACCAATCATTTGTCTTCTATAAGATTTTTGATATATATTTGAATAATTACAAATTTATGGTTATGATTGTATAATCAGTATAATAGTTTATATACTACAAACACTTTTTCCCATTTTTATCACAGAATAAGGCAGAAAATATATTTTATAGCTTCTGTGCTCTAATTAATGCTATGTCAATGTATCACTGTATCATTCATATAAAAGACTTGAAAAATAGGGTTGGGCCGATAGACGATGCTATTGTTCATCGCCGATGGCTGATAGACATCACGATGTTGAGCTGTTTGTCAGTGGTCCTCAGGATCTGCAAACCATTCGCCATCGTCCTCAGTCAGGTCAGTCAGCAGGTTTATGCTTGTTATTCAGCTTAGCTACAGCCATAGCGGGATGCCTTTGTCCATAGGGATTTCCTGGCGTCAAAAGTTACTTCTATCATATGAGTCCGTTTTGGACTTTCTGTACGAGAGCACCCTCCGGCTTCGAGTATGAATGCAGCGCATGAGAGTGTTCAGCTCTCCGTGATGTTCACATCGTTTTGGATAAGAATAACGTATCCAAAACGACGTGACTATATTGTCTCTTTTAATTTAAATCTAGATTTATTCACATTGGCATTTGAAAACCTCTACGTGAACACACTTGCCCGAGAAAAAGTGCATGGGAAAGAGTTTAGGATTTATTAAAAGTCTGGACACCTCCCCCGCGTATTGTACACCCATGCGACAGGGAGCCACCGCAGAGGGATGAAAGAGCCGCGGGTTGCCCACCCCTGCCTTAAAAGCACAATATGCCATTTTCGCCGCTAGAGGGCGCGTATTCAAAATAAACAAAGAGGCAAAGGCACAGTTTGATGAGGCAGTGCCTGAGTGTGGAATCATGGGAGTTGTGGTCTTCATCCCCACAGCCGATGCAATCCCACGGGACTCGGGCAGAAATCATGTTCATGGATGAGCTAATGATTTATTAACGTCGTAGTATGAAGCAGGGTGAGGCTGAAAGCCGTCGAAGCGAAACGAGGCCGCTGAACGAGTGTGACACACGGCTCGAAAGCAGCGGAGCTTTTATTATGCCACAGTCGACCGCTTCCGCTCCTTCCGGTCGTGCGTATGTGGGGTAAAGCAGCGCTGTTTTATCATACTAGCTACATTTGAAAGTTCTGTTAGTATGCTACTCTGTGCGGTCATCACCGGTCTATTAAAACACATAACATATTAAAGCGTCTTTGGTGTTTCGAGGGGTTATGACCTCATTGGCAGGCGACACAATGACACTATGGACACACTCCGTGTCACTAGTTAAAATTGCTTATTTCTCTGGATTTAAACATTCTTCGAAACATTTGGGATAATTTAAGTACACAAGTCAGCAAAATGTATAACACTGTTCTAGTGGTTTTTGGATATTTTAATAAAAAAATCTTACATATTGTGCCTTTAAGTAAAGCCATGTGGGTAGAGGGAGTTAGCAATAACATCAAGCAGCAGTAGCCAGCATGGCTCACCTGCTGAGCACATTGTGCTGTGTCCTGGTTGGGAAATGTGTCATTTCAAGCCCAGTCTAAAGTAAGGAGTTGTTTTTTTTTCTATTTAAAAGTGTACATTGCTGATGTTTTTGCAGATATGTTACATGTATGTATGGCATACGTTTGGATTGATGCTAAGAGTTTAAGACAGTGTATTTGTATGCATTTTAGAAGGACTCTTTAGGCCACATCGTGGTCCAGTTTGAATTTTCGACATGGGACCATAGTCTGGACTATTTTTGACTGTTCCTGGTTAGGAAGATTCTGGTGTTTGAGAGCTGTGGCGTGTTTTCAGTACAAGAGGTTGGATTATTCATTTTAGGGGCCTGCAGTAGCCAGCATGGCTCACCTGCTGAGCACATTGTGCTGTGTCCTGGTTGGGAAATGTGTCATTTCAAGCCCAGTCTAAAGTAAGGAGTTGTTTTTTTTTCTATTTAAAAGTGTACATTGCTGATGTTTTTGCAGATATGTTACATGTATGTATGGCATACGTTTGGATTGATGCTAAGAGTTTAAGACAGTGTATTTGTATGCATTTTAGAAGGACTCTTTAGGCCACATCGTGGTCCAGTTTGAATTTTCGACATGGGACCATAGTCTGGACTATTTTTGACTGTTCCTGGTTAGGAAGATTCTGGTGTTTGAGAGCTGTGGCGTGTTTTCAGTACAAGAGGTTGGATTATTCATTTTCTATCAGCCAACTTCAGCTATGGACAGTGTTTGGACATTGATGCACTACAGATTAGACTTTCACACACATCAACTTTCACATGACGAAATCCTACAATCTTACATTGCTTTGTTTGCTTTCTTTCTTGTTTTGTGTGTACATTTGTGTATTTAGATTTCTGGCTATATATAGCTGTATTAACCTGAATTGAATGTTTTCTATTTTGTATTTAATAAATTGATTTGAAATCCCTTTGACTACTGTACATTTTTGAAAATACATACATTAGTTATGTGGTGACTGCATCCATTTCAGATGTATAATAACTGTTTTTCCCAAAGTATTAAAGTGAAACAGATGTATTGTAGATTAATAGTGCGGGCCCTGTGTGGGCCTAGTGAGGGCTTCCTGGGAGCTAAGTGAGAACTGCCCATGTAGGGCCTGCGCTAAGGTGCCAACGTTTTGCCAATGAGCAAATTCTCAGGGGCCCTGCGCTGGCAGCCCGCTGGGGGCCCTTAGGCTAGCCCTAAGTGGGCCCGTAAAAGGCCAGTGCAGGCTTGTTTGCAGGGGGCTGTAGGCCTACACTTCCGCATTTCCAAATATATTCATAAATACAATTTATTCGTAAATATTTGACTGCTGAATGCTGATATTGACTAATAAAAATGTAGTATTCCAGTGAGCTGTGTAATAAAGTATTTTACACAACAGTTTGGTACGCGAATCTGAATGAACGAGAGGCACAGCAGACATTTCTCCAGTAACATTATAGACTTTTCAACGATTGTATCTCTTTCTAGTGTGGGTAAACTCAGATCTTGTCATCATAAAGTTGTTTCTTTATATAAAATTATATTAATTTGATTGAGTACAGAAATTAATAGCTATGATCAGTCGACTATGCATAATGTATATGTTGTCAGTTGAACTTATACACATTAGGCTAAATGTGCTTTATATATTAATACTTAGTACAGTTAACTCAAAATAATAATACTAATAAATCTGTCAAACATAGGCTGTGTTTTTGTTTTTTACGTCATTTTGACATTTCTTAATATTTGTGTACACTATACACTTTTGTGTCATGGATGAGTGTATAGTGGTGAATGGGAAACTACAACTATTTGTTGATTTTTTAAAAATAGTTTCCACAGCTTTCCAAAATAGGAAAAAGAAAAATACACAAATTTATTTTGAGGAAAAAAGATGTCAAATTTACAGTCACTCTCTGGTAATATAACACATAGTGC